TTTACTGTCGACGTTTCGGAACGTTCCATCTTCAGGCCATCTGTCAAGAAACATGATCTTGATAAGATTTAAGCAAACAATATATTTAAGGAAAGCAGAAGATGATTTTGTAATTCAAAATTTCTTTAAATTATGTCTTTTTTTAATTTGTTATGTGAGACAAAAAGTATTATTCCCTCGATGTTATGAGATGACTATATGTAACAAAACTGTTGATTGAACAAAAGGATTTTAAAGATTTTTTGTATTACATAATAAACTCAAAAAAGACATAATTTAAAGAAAATTTGAATTGCAAAATTTGTTTCTTCGTCTGAAAAGAAATTTATAAAATCATTTTTTTTGATAAAATCTTTTTTAGTGAAACAGTGTCAGTGAATAAACAATTGTACAGGTAATTAATTCTGTTTTTTCAGTGATCTTTTCTTAAAACTTTTTAAAACCATCTAAATTTTTTAACATTTTTAATATTTTGTTATATAATCCACTCATTTATTATTATCATTTTCATTTTGATTATATTGTCATATTTCAGTACATTATTTTTTCCACAATTTTATTCATTTTCTGCTTTTCTTCAACATATTGTTTGCTTAAATTTTATCAAGATCATGTTTCTTGACAAATGTCCTGAAGCTGGATCGTACCAAGTTCCGAAACGTCAAGAATAAAGAAATGTTTTTTTAAAAAACTTTTATTTTTCATTACTTTTTGGATTCTTTGTTCAAAGCTCTAATATATATATAAATATATATCTACCTATATATATATATATATATATTATATATATATATATACAGGGTGCTTCAAAAAAATGTATACATTGAACTTCTATAGAAAATATATTTACCGTTCTACAAAGTTATATTTCAGAAAAATAGAAAGGTGAAACTCCAATGTAAATAAAACATAAATAACAAATGTTAATACTGTTCAAATTGGTGACCTGCAGCATCAATACAATTCAAATTAGAGTCACCACTGATTCTGTACATCGGTATCAAAACATCCAATGAGATTTCTCTACACACTGCTTGAATCTCATTCCAAAGAATGTCTAGGTTACATGGTTTACGTTTGTACACCTCATCTTTTACTGTGCCCCTCAAGAAAAAATCCAGTGGTGTAAGGTCTGGAGAGCGTGCTGGAAACTCAATTGGCTCCCTGCATCCTATCCACTGGCCCCACAAATTTTGATCCAGGTAAGGTTGTAAGTCCCTGTGATAGTGCGAGGCTAAATGATGCTACCCATAAATCCCAATTCAAGTTTCACCATCTCCTGAATCCATTCACAAAATTGCAACCTTGTGATGTACAGAATCAGTGGTGACTCGTACTCAGAATTGTATTGATGCTGCAGGTCACCAATTTGAACAGTATTAATATTTTTTATTTATGTTTCATTTTCATTGGACTTTCAGCTTTCTATTTTCTTGAAATTTAACTTTGTAGAACGGTAAATAAATTTTCTATGGAAGTTCAAAGTGTGTATACATTTTTTTGAAGCACCCTGTATATTGAATCATACAATTAATTTGATAAATCAAATTCCAAAGATTCCGATTCATCAATATTAGTGGTTGTTTTGAATTTGTTGTCCAGTTGTTAAAGTTCCACAGATTAAAGGATAAAATTATAGCCAAAACATGCTGATTTCAAAATAATTTTTCGAAACAATTCATGTTTTTTTATTGATGTTATGCCCGATTATTAGACTGTCAATATATATGCAGATATGTCATAACATTATACTGTATGAAACTCTTTAGTACCTTACATTGATAAATGGTGGAAATTTCATTAATAATTAAAGAAGAGGTTTTCTCAATTGGGAAGTCTGTCACAAAAACAAAAGAGAGTTATTATTCAAATGACAATTCTGTTATCAGAATTATTGCTCTATAAATATTCTCATGAAGGAAACGAGACAAAAAATTAATAAAACATCAATGTAAAATCTTGAACTTAAAATTAAACATAACCTCTATGTAGTATGTATGTATGTATATATATATATATATATATATATATATATATATATATATATGTGTGTGTGTGTGTTTGTGTTGTGTACATACATTTTGCCTTTAAAAACAATTTCAATAAACATTTTCACCATTGCACTATATGCTTTAACATAGTATCCGCATAACATGACAGATTGACTTAAAACCATTAATAAACAAATATTTGTTAAAATCAAACTCCACTTTATTTATGTCAACTAATACTTACTTCATATTCTGTAGAATTAAATGATTTATTGCCTACATAAAAGAAAACACCAAAATATACACAAAAATGTAAACAATTACACTCTTTTGCAAAACTTTGTATTGTTTTATTGGTATCGGTTTGCTGCCACAGCACAACAATCAAAATCAAATGACTTTATTTTTGTTCCAAAGATAAGTAGATCGCTGCGAACACGGTTGAGCATGAGGGCGCTGCAATCGGTACCGCAACACAGTGCATGCGTAGATCAAAAAGACAGACAAAAAAGGCAATATATAAACCAGTGGCTTTCAATCTGTGGTACGCGCTCTTTAGGGGTGTGCTGGGCTGTTATAAGCGAGCCAAAAATGTCGAATTGGATTTAAAAATAAGTATTAAAATTAAATAAAAACTAGTGGTGTATGGTATCGTGCCTTAAGGCAAATTGCTGGAACTTCCCGTACCGCAACGAAATGTTTGAGAAATATTAAATGTTTTCATATAGATTACTATAAATATTGTAACATTGTCTAATATTTATAAGAATTATATAAAATGAATTGCAAAGTTGAAATTATTTGTTTAAAGTATATTAGAACTTCAGTCAGAATTAAAATTAAAATCTGAATTATTATCGATATACAAAAAAATTGAAAAAATGAAAAAAAAAATTAAAACAAAAGCAATTATTTTTATTAAAACAAGCAGAAAGTTTTTTGAATCATTCAAATCGGACGCTTAGCTCTTTCAAAAACTGCAATTTTTTGCACATTTACCTTGTATCTTCTAAATGGCTGGACCTGCTTTTGCCAAAAACTAGTCCTCTTCTCACAATCATTACAAATTGAATGTTTTTTAGATCATTCAAACCGAATACTCTGTTCTCCCAAAAACTTAATTCGTATTTTCTGCACTCTTTGCTCCGTATCTCTGTAACTGCTGGACCTGCCTTTGCCAAAAACTAATCAGCACATCTCCATATCTATAGAAATATAATGTTTTATAAAACATTCAAATCGGTTGATCCGTGCGCCCGAAAATGTGGACGAAAAAATGCGGACATACAAAACACACACACACGCATATCCATTTTTTCTGAGGTATGCCAAAATGTTCAGAAACCTCAGAAAAACGTAAAGATATGTAAAAAAAATATTTTCGATTTTCGGCCCTACAGGAAGTTAATTAATGTATATTTTAACATAACATAGCATATTTAACTTCCCGTAGGTTAGGAGTTATTGTATTCGTCCAAAAATAGAAATATTTTTTTTTTGAAAAAGAATGGATAGATGTGTACGTGTGTAGCATGTGTTTTGTATGGATACATTATTTCGTCCACTATTTTGGACGCACGGATCGAATAATTCGAAATACATTCGATTCCTACTAATGGAGAAACGTGCTGATTAATTTTTGGCCAAAACAGGTCCAGCCGTTTTGGAGATACAGAGCAAAGAGTACATAAAATAGAAATCGATGAAAGAACGGAACATCTGATTTGAATGATGCAGAAAACATTCAGTTCGTAATGACGGAGGAAAGTGGTGATTAGTTTTTTGCAAAAATAGGACCAGCTGTTTCGGAGATACAGAGCCAAATGTGCAAATAATAGCAGTTTTTAAGAGAAAGAAGCATCCGATTTGAGTGATTATAAAATTCACTCGTATTGATAAAACTATTGCTTTTGCGGGAAACAAATCATTTCAAAATTAAAAAAAAAATAAAAATAAAAAAAAAATTGCAAAAAAATTCGGATTATATAAATTAATTTATTAAGATCAAATTTTATAAGTATCAAAACAAATTTAATCAGTATTTTTATTTTATAAGCATTCTTTAATATAGGTATTGACACTATACGCCAATTTTACGGCAAAACACGACATTTTTTGAATTTAAGTAATGCCTTGTCTGAGTTTTAATTAACTTTGCAATATGTAACAAGTATTTTCAACAATAGATATCATAACATTCTACAAAAATCTGTAAAAACTCCAGTGCACCATAATATTCACCAACGCCAACTTATTTTAAGAGCCTATATCTTATGATAAATAAACTCCAACGATGCTGGTCTTAAAATAGAAAATCTTACTTTTCAAATACCAGCACCTCAAATTTTCTGTAGTTGTTTAATCATATTGTTCGGAACATAAGCTCAACTATTATTTATTTCCTTAATATTTAATTTAATTTATTATAATTTTCGTCACCAATTAAATGAATTATGTCGTTTTTCAATGACATTAAAAATGATCCTTCCATAGAAGTTTTTGAGCTAAATAAATTATATGAGGAAGATATATGCCCAAACAAGTGTAATTTGGGAATTGGAGGTGAGTGATATATGTATTCAATTTTATATAGGTAAGAATGCAGATGATAAATTGATGTTTTACGATGATTTCAGCTTATAAAACTGAAGATGGAAATCCATGGATTTTGCCTGTTGTTAGAGATGTCGAAATAAAAGTCGCAATGGGATTAATGTGTGACAATGAAAATTATCCAGTTCTAGGTCAGTTTGACGTCAAATTGCTATAGTATATTTTGTAGATGTTTTAACTTTTGCAAAAACTTCTTTAATTTTTTTTTATTTGCTTTATGAATTGCAATCTGTCGTTATAAACTGGAAACAACATTCAGTAATTTTGATGGTTGATTATATTAGGAGAAAAGGTCGAAAGTACACCCAATAGTAATCCGGTTCGATGTTGATTATGTAAAGCTTATAGAAGTAATAGTAGTACTGATTCGAAAAATTTGAATAAAACCTGCAGAGGTAAATGTAGTATTATAAATTAGTACACAGTGCATAATTGAATAATATGGCGTTTTAATTTGAGCCTTTTATATAAAAGGGGCAGTTTTATTTATCAATGTTATGGTACTTCAGAAAATTTCTGGCCATTACGTTTGGGTGGATCCGTATTCTCTCCTTGTATCTCAAACGGAAGTTTTCAATTTTTTTTCTTAACTGAGTTTATGTTCAAATCTGTATGAACCGACCAATTTGGTACATACTTGGGTGCATTTATAAGTTTGTTCAAAATCTACTAATACAAATATGTACAAGTTTTTTAATCTCGAAAACAATTTTATATTAGATCAACTAGTATGTATATGTAAATTTTTCTGGTAATACCTACAAAAATTAAAAAAAAATGATTTGTACTAAAAACCTATAGTGAAGTTAATGTTAAATTCCAGAACATTCGAGTTTTCAAAATGCATTCGAAACAAACGGTATTTCCGATTTCTCTAACTTTAACATGCTTATTTGAACGTATATTTTGCTGTTAGAGTTCCTAAATCAAGCACATTATATCTTTGCATGCAGAAGTCCACAGAAATTGATATTTATTGAAATTGACAAATGAGGTAACAAATTAAACGCATATGATCGATTAAATAAGCAAACTTACGCTCTCTCATCAAAAAATTGTTTTACAGGCTAATTTTCAATAAATTAAATCATGAATAACTATAACTTAAAAAAGACAAAATGCTTGCCAAAAATAAGTTATTTTTCTTAGAGTCATTGATATTCACAAAACTTGAAGGTTAAAAAACATATTTGATTACCCACTCCACAATTACATGAAACATCAAACATAAAACTGAATATTCTTCAGATATTAAATGAAATTATGTATGAGTTAATATTAATTTGCTGTATATTGAGCTATCTTAAAATTCCATAATAATTGCCATAAATAAGGATTTTTTTATTTTTTATAATATAATTTTAGGTACTGAATCTTTCACTTCTGCAGCAACTACTTTACTTCTTGGTGAAGATAATAGGGCTATTATAGAGAAAAGGGTATGTGCTTTCCACATTTACAAAAAATTGATATTTTATATTCTCCTTAGATATTTAGATACAAATTACATTGACATCGGCAAATTAATATATTGTTTCTTTATAATTGTGATCATTTGATTCTCTAGTAGGAATCTGTTCCGCCAAAACGTCCTTACCAGCACCAGCATATTTTTGCCCACATCTGCCTGTTTATCATTAGACTCAAAGTAGTTTTAGTTTATATTAATTAGTATTTTTTTAATGCAATGGGCATATGCCTCTGCAATAATATTGATATCAGTTAATATAAGTGATTATCTATATCATAATGATTTTAAATAGGCATGCGGTATCCAAACCTTATCAGGAACCGGTGCTTTGCGAATCGGTGCAGAATTTTTAGCAAAAGTCCTTGGTAGAACAACATTCTACTACTCAAAACCATCCTGGGGTGAGTACTCCATAATTACATACAATCAGCTTAAATGGATCTACATATTTTGCGGGTAAGATTAATAAAGTGCAATGTTTTTTTTTCTTTCTTGACTTTGTGTAGTTTGTTTCACTATTAATAGCTCATTGCAGCAGGCAAAATCTAGTAATAGAAGTTTGTTTACTAAATTTACAGTCGTTAGTGAATATATTGAAAGTCTGATATATATATATATATATATATATATATATATATATTTCAGATAACCATCGCCAAGTCTTACTAAATGCAGGATTCACTACGCCAAGAGAATATCGTTATTGGAATTCTATAGAAAAAAATGTTGATATTGAAGGTATTTTTGCAATATATATATATATATATATATATATATATATATATTTATCGATCGACTAAATTCTTTATAGGACTTTTAGAAGATTTAAATGGTGCCCCCGAAGACGCAGTTGTTCTTTTCCATTGTTGTGCTCATAATCCAACTGGTTGTGATCCAACAAAGGAACAATGGCGGAAGATATTTCAAGTAGTTAAAGTAAGACATAATGGACTTATTTTATTTTTTCTAATTAAATACAAACATCTAAACATATCATAAATATATTGTGACGAGTGAAGGTTGACGTCCCCTTTCTGGGGATTGCAACGACTAGCAAATATTATATGAAAGGGTTACTCCAACTCCTTAACCCGAGAACCCGACTTCTATGAACACCCTGTAATTACCTGTGGAAACTAAACCAACTAACTACGCGAATGAAACAGAATGTTTAGCTTTTAGCTTATTTAATTTAACTAATTATGATTACAGATCTGAGGTCATGGCTGTACCTATGCCTAAACTCTAACGTACTGATAAATTCTTATTAATTACGTAAACGGATTAACGGACTAACGGAAGGAACAGCTACTAAACAATACAATCTGACCTTTGCTGGAACAGGTTCTTCTCTCCTGGCACAACACACACACCACTATACACAAAGCGGGTCTAGCGACTAGCGCCTTGACCCGACCGACCTCCTCGGAGGATGTTACATTTTCTAATGAGACATTTCAACCCTCGACTTGAACCTTATATTGCAGGAACCCTAGTGGAAGTAGGTCGGGGAGTCCATTTGCATTAAGGGTTATGCAACCCTTTGACTACAATACCAATTGTCGTTACAATATCTACACACCTATCTACTAGCATGATATATTGTATTCTATATTGTAAATATATATATATATATATATATATATATATATATATATATATATATATTTATTATATATATATATTATATTATATTATATATATATATATTATATATTATATATATATATATATATATATATATATATATATGAATTAGTGTCCAATTATAAGTTATAATTAAATAGTGGTCTATGTTGTGAGAGCACCACACATCACTGATTTAAATCAGTGTAAATCAGAATCAGTAAAGGGAAATCCCCTTCAATCCCTTGACCATTTCATTACTACTACTATCATACTTATTATTATACTTATTACCAAACGTCTGCTTCAATGCTTCCTGGTCATGTGCTTTGGCTCTTAATTCCATGTATTTTTCCCTCTTGCACAAGTCGTCAATCATTTGTATTCTTCTTCTTCCTAAACCTTTTAGTTCCTCTATCTCACCATCGGCAAAGTCGTGGAGAAGACATTATTTTGCAATATGGGTCATATCATGGTTTCCTTTCCTTTTCATGACAGTTTTTTCTTCTCTGACTCTATTCAACACTTCTTCATTTGTTATGTCATCTGTCCACTTTATCTTCTCTATTCGTCTTCAGCACTACATTTTGGAACTTCTCTATGTATTTTTTTTTCATTCTTAAAGTGCATGTCTCTGATTCATATAGAGCTATTCTGTAGATATAACACTTAATAATGACTTAATAGTTTCTTCCGCGAGTCGAGGCAAGTTCTTGTACATAACTGAATTACAATTCTGAAACTTTTTGACTAAAAAATTGTATTAAAATACACATTTGTGAACTCTAGCTCTACTTTTCTGTAATTCCAAATACTAAATATATTTCTCATTTAATCATTTTTGAATTATTTTATCATTTTTGAATTAATTTGGTTAAATTGAATTTGATATTACAGAAACGTAAACTGTTCCCATTTTTTGATTCGGCTTACCAAGGGTTGGCAACGGGCGATCCAGAGGCTGATTCTTGGCCTGCGAGATATGCTGCTAATGAAGGTTTCGAGTTTTTTTGTGCACAATCCTTCGCAAAAAATTTTGGGTTGTACAGTGAGTTTTTATAACAATAATTGTTAATAAAAATCATCTGCAGATAATACTCGTGATTAGGCTAGCAGAAATTTGATTATTGTATTAATTTCTAATTATTTTTAAAATTAGATGAACGTGTGGGAAATTTGATAATAGTAACAAAAACTGAACAAGTTTTGAATGCAATAAAATCTCAGTTCACAATATTGATTCGTGCTATGTATTCCAATACAACAAATCATGGTGCACGAGTAGTTGGATTGATATTGAATGATAAAACGTTAAAAAGTCAATGGTAAGTACAAGAACATAATTTCATAATTTATAAAAATTATAATGATAGGTTGGAAATTTTATTGATAGGTTGGAAAGTATAAGAATAATGTCATTTCGTATAAGATCACTAAGGAAAAAGTTAAAAACGCATCTGCAAAAATTAAAAATACCCGGATCATGGGACCACGTAACACAACAAATAGGAATGTTTTTCTATACTGGTTTAAATGGTAAAAAATATTTAATATATATATATATATATATATATATAATGTGATGAAATAAAAATATGATTTTTTAGATAACCAAGTAGAATATTTGATGCAAAAATACCACATATACATATTAAAATGTGGAAGAATCAATATGTGTGGAATTAATTCTAGTAATATGGAATATATAGCAAGAGCCATCGATGATGCTGTTAGATCTGTAAATAATAATGTCGATTCCTGACCAGCGATATCAAATTATGATTGAAAAATCCGTATTGTGGGCATAAGAAATATTTAACATAAGAGGCACACAGTACATTTGTGGACAAATATTTTGTATAAAATAGCTATTTACTACTACTATTTTTATGAGAAAATTTTAAAATATTGCTTTCTCTGTAAGCATCACATAAAATAAAGTTTAAGCCATAAAATTTAACTTCAACACATTTTATTACCAATTTTTCAATAATTTTAATTTAATTACTAATAATTATTACCTCGTATTGTAATTAGTTCATTTTCGAAATTAAAATAATTTTCATTTAATTAAAACAAAACAAAATTGGTAGTAAGTGATATTTTGCGTGAATGGAAGTTGCATGAACCTTCCGACATGTGTAAATAAGGACATAATTAATAAGAGATCAATTCATTTATTTTTTTGGCGAAAAATTTCTTTGGAAAGTTAATAAAAATGCACCATGCTAGTAAATATATATATAACTCGTTGATAGAACTTGAAATTTTGTATGATTTTTTAAAATATATTTGTATAAAAATGTGGTATCTATTTATTGAGATCTATTAATTTCAGATGCCCCAGGAACTTGTTAACCCTGTAACTTTGTAAAATATAATATTATTACAATCAGATACAGCATTTTACGCCGTTTCGATATTCTAATGTAAATAATCTGTAAGTGCAAATAAATAAAATAAATGCATTATTAAAATAAAAATCTTACACTATTTGCAAATATATTTTTATAAATAAAATTTGAAATATTGAAAATATATGTACACATTTCTAAATATTTATAAAGGTGGGAAATTTTTATAGTGGAACTTGTTCTTATCGACAAGCAATTCTTAATAAGTATTATTAACATGATTGATGAAGAAATACATAAGAAAAAACATTTTATAATAAACATTTCTACCCTTAGATTTGCGTTGCAAACAGATATTTAAGCGTAATTCAAGTTGTTTGATATTAACTAAAATGAAAATAATGCAGTATGACCATAGATCTTATAATGTTATATTATGTATTATAAAATCTATGAGTGTGACCCAAGAAATGATTCAAACTTTTAACAAAATAAACTAGAAAACGTAAAGATGAAAAAATATAAGTACTTATAGCTAGAAAATACTTTTGAAGAGCACCACATTTCTATAGAAACAAAAATAAATTTGCTTGTTCCAAAAGTAAGTTATAGGTTTGAAAATTTTATAGCATATATTTTTATTACATTTGCAGTTTATTATATTTATCACAATTTTTCAACTAAATGTAAAATTTTTGTTCTAATTTGAGTTGTTACAAATATAATAAATTGCAAATGTGCTAAAACAATAACAAGATACAACAAATAGAGAATTCACATCATAAAATAAAATTCAGTCAAACCACTTTCGTGATATCGTGATAATGAATGAAATGCATGATTTTTTTAGTTTATATTTTCTATATATATCTCCAGTCAACCCTACAATATCGCGGTTACTGAACTACGCGACAACAGCCCTCCTATAACACGTTACTCCTATAGCTTATAATTTTCGCCCGCGCTGCCTATAAATGAATAACAAGATATTGTTGTAAAAGAATTTAATTCAGGGTTTATTATATATTTTTTTATCTTTTACATATGTTTATATATAAACATGCCAGATTAAATAAAAGCTGAGTCCGATATCGGTTTTAGTTCACAGAAAAAAAAATTATCATATCTTTTTTCATAATTCATCATGTCTTTTATTCGTAACGCGTACGACTGCTGTAATTTGTACTAGTTATGAGTTTCTTCTAGAACGGTTCCCATATAACGCGATAGCCGGTTTCCATAGAACGCACTACGAATTAGCCTGCTTTGTACTTCAAACTCGACTCTTTTATAGCACGGTTTCCATATTACACGGTACACGCTCTCCGCGTTATCAGAGGGTTGACTGTATTCACTCTTTTCAGGATTATTATTTACATGATGTGCATAATAAAAGATACATCTTCAATGTCTTCATTTCTGTGTGTATCACATAATTTTCTAAGTGATGAGAAATGCCAGAATCTAATCGATTTTTATCATAAGAGATTCTACATTTCTATATTACATGAGATAAAGTGTAACTAACTTGTGCCTTTGTAGGTTAATCTTCAATTTAAAATAAATTTATTATGAGGTGTACAGATTATAATTTATTTTAAATTCTTATTATTTACAACTTTTATATGCTTTTTTTCATGATCATGAGATGTGATTGCATGCCAAAAACTAAGCGTAAGTACATAAATACATAAATACATTTATAAATGCATATAGTATGTGTATGTCTAATAGTATAAATGCGTATTTTCTTATAGCTCCATATTTATATATGTACTAGATGACCCGACAGACGTTGTCCTGTACCCACCTCTACGTTTTTTTAATATCCTATTCTAATATTTATACCGTTAAGTTAAAAATAATCATTATTGTTTTTCGAGTTACTATTTACACCAATATATGAGTGATGTTAAATGTAGTATTGTTTCAAATAAAATGATTATTCTCAATTCTCACAGTTAACACTTTAATTATCCCTTTAACAAATATTAAAATATGTTCAATAAAATTATATATTAAAAATTATACACTGCGATTTATAGAACAAATTTATTTCCAATAGCTCAATTTATTTTATTGAATTTAAGGGTTATACAATATTTTTAGGCATACCTGTAGATGTGGATGTTTAAATGAATGATTTTTTGTTTATTCACGGCTAAAACATTGTTTTTCCAAATTTATCACCATGTATTTATTGTCATAGCATAGATACACGTGTTGAAAATTGAAATCTTTTAAAAAGTATAACAAATTCAGAAAGAATTAATATATAGCATGCGGTCAAGGTACAATATCACCTTGGATTTTTCTACCCAAAATAATTGCTTCAATAATGTTGCCTACAATTTTTATAGTTTCGTACCATATTTTAACTGGCTTTTAGTATTTTAATATCTAAATTGCATTTTTCACACTAATAATTCAATATACATTATTACTTAAGTTCATATTTGAAGTGAATTAATTTGTCAAATTTTGTTTACATGTGCTCTATTCAACCTACTATCAACAAATTTATTGCAGTCAATGGAGAGGAAAAAAGCGTATGCCCAGCTAATCTTAATCTAAAGTTCAGAAGTGAAAACAATTTGCATTTCGTCACCACCCCCCGCATTATTCGGATTATAACTCTTTTAATTCTGATTTTATCATAACTTGTAATATACTATTTTAAAGGTGATTAAATGAGCTACAACTTTCTTTATCATAAATTTTACCGTAACTTCTCTTATTTTGAAACGGCGTAGGGTTAAAGGGCTCGAAAGACACTCCGGTTGGACAGCCGCGCACTCTTTAACCAATTAGAACTCTATCAATATTTGTGTAACAAAAAATAATAAAAAGCAATAATTAATCTGAAAAATACCTTGAATTTTCATATATATACTTTTATACGTATTCTTTCAGAGATATTAGAATGAGAAATTGTTTTTTTTTAAATGGATTTTTTTATGAAATCATGAGTTTTTTGAAAATCGTTTGTACTAATGTTATGGTATTTTCTAGAATCTATCAAGATCTCTCAAACCAAGTTAATTCTAGATGGAAAACGATTATTTTTAATTTTGGTGGAAATGGCACTCATAAACTATTTGATTTAAATGAGAAAAAAAACATTGTATGCGTCTTTTAATTGAATGATAGCTCACTCATTTTACACGCAAAGAAGTACTTTCTTTTAAAGCATATTTGGAGAACTATGAAAACCCATTTTCATAATTAACCTAATATTGTTCCTAGAACACTGTAAAATAGCGATTTATTAGGATTTTTATCGATATAATTTTACTTTTATTGATAAAAAACGCAAAAAGAAACAAATTTTCAGTAGCCAGTAACTTGAAAAGTATGTGCTTTTTTTAAAAACATTATTAAACATTTTTCTCTTATAATTAGTTCTTTTACCCACACCCAACGTTATTACACCACTGAAAAGAAATGGCATCCCCCCGGGTAGTGCAAAGGAGTCTAAATTGTTTTCACTTTTGAACTTGAGGGTAAGATGAGCCTAATTCCAAAATTCGAAACGAATTGGAAAACAGTAAAAAAAAGTTTAGACCCAAAGCGCTCCATTGAGTAAATATTTCGTACAAAATGCCAACCATATGAATTTTTGACACAATGAAACTTCTAAATAATTTTTTGAATAAGTATTTTTTTTGTATTGTGACTTAGTAGAGTAAGGCAAAACGACCGCAAATTGAATATTTTTGAGCGCAATCACTTATGGCTTGTCTCCTTTGCACGAATTCGTACGGCGAATCTGTTCGCAAAGTGCGCAATCAAAATTATTGCAAGCAAAAGCAAACCACGAACCACGCGTACGTTGAGAACACGATTCGCCGTGCGCGTCAGACGCCTGCGCAGACTGTCCGACGCATGTTATGTTATTTTCATCTTATATTAATTTAATTATGGCACATCTCAGCTGCTTTTCGACAATAATAATGTAGACATTACATTTTCTTTATTTTTAATCATGAATTTATTATATTTTAATATTGCCTTAGCCTATAAGTGAATAGAAATGTTTGGCAAATGACAGTTGTCATTTGTTTTTAATGTCAAACCATGCCTTAAATATTTTAAAGGTCAAACAATGATAAGCGTTTTTTTGTAATTTTTTCCATTTATTTCTTCAATCTAACTATATTTCTATGAATCAAAACATTCTAGAAAATTTCCCGAACAAACTTCAGGAAGATTCATGAAAATCCGAATTATAGTTTAGGAGGATTAATGAAACTTACATTGTTACAGAAGAATTTTATATATAAGATATATAAATTTAAAATATATATGGCATTATAATGCATGTATGCATATAGATCATCATTTTATGTAAATGTTATAATAATTTATAATAAATAAGACCGCATTTAGAGTTAATCTGTCCTTCGTAAAACAGAGTTTTTTTTTCAAATATTTTACACATTTCTAACCACCGTTTTGTATAATGTAAAACCATTTTTCATAAATAATTTTAAGACACGGTTTCTAAGACACGAACAAGATTTTGTATTTACTGGGCATAGCTATTACGAATATATATAGGGTGTCCCAGAACTCAACGTGAAGCCGAAACGTGGTAATAGTAATGATCATATCTAAGTATCATGAGAAATATTAGGAAACAAAAATCTAGTGTAGTTTGAAAATTACGAACTATTAAGTACACCCGAGAGCTTTGGTCATACTGCGACCATTTTTCGATTATTGTGATTAGTTTTTAACATTTTTGTTCATTTGTAGGACCACAAAAATTATATTTTGTTTGTAAGAATTAAAATCCTAAAAATAACTTTGAATTTTAAATAAAAAATAGTGTGTTCTTTATGAAACTTTACGTTGATTTCTGTGACACCCTGTATATTATATATATATATATATATATATATATATATATATATATATATATTATTATATAATATATTCATAATAATTTTAAATTTTAGTATACTATATATGTATAACAATAATTATATAACATGTCGTCACAATATAATTAAAAATTTCTTAAAATATTTTTCTATAAATATAAATATAAATTACTTGAATTTTCAGTTTCATTAATATGGATTTTTCATAATGCCATTGTCATTATTCCATAGAATAGATTCGTCTTCATTAAGTACTAACAAATATGACTTCCTTTTAAAATAACTTAATTAATATTAATCAAATATTAACATAATAACTGCTATATATATATATATATATATTATATTATATTATATTATATAAAATTGTATTTTATATAGAGCAAATTCTATAAAATTAATAATACTTGCAAATAATTCATTGCTCAGAGATTAAATAATGATTTGTCGTATATAAAAATATTGCTTATTTACAATTTATAATATAACTACCGCTAAAGTTAATATTTACAACAATTAAAAATCAATAACTCATCGGCACTTTTACACTACGATACTTTCATCAATTTATAAATTCTTTCGAAAATATTTAAACTTTCGAAATGCACAGCAACACTTAGAATTAATATTAAATAATATCTTAATCAAATAAATGTTCCCAAAAACAACTAATTTCGAAACACTCGATGATTTGTTATATATTACAAGTCTCTTTTAAATAAAATTTAGGATCGAAATAAGGCAATTTCACACTAGTATTTTCGGAAAATTTTCGAAAACTTCAAAAATTTATAATGTTCAAATAAGCACAACTATTTATTTATTGTCTGCCAAAAACGGACTATCCTCTCTATGCTGTTTTTCAATATTTCCAGATAATGTAGGGTCTGGTCTGCTTCTTTTGAAAAATCCACACCGCCATAGTAAAATTATTAATCCGATAAGCAGTAATAAACCAATTATCACAGAAACAATAATTATCCATAAGTCAACGAAACTATCAATTTGTTCCAACAAATCAGGATATGCTTTCGTTGTAGCCTGGAAAAAATCTCTAATTATAAATACATACATTTGTCTTACAAAATTATTAAAAAAAGTGTTGGAACATGTTGCATAAACAACCCGACATATTTAAATAAATCAACTTAATCAATTAATTAACAAGAATGATTGCCGTGGAGCTTTTATTGCAAATTATTCAATTTTGTTTGAATTTTCCAAACATGTTAGTTATTTTAGATGTTGAAAAATAAAAAAAGAAGTAATCTCATTGGAGATAAACTCTTTAAGGACAGCGCATAGTATTAAAGAATAATGTATCACTTCACTCAATAAGCCCGTAGGATAATTAAGAAAAATCTATTTTTTTTAAATTCGTTTGTTATATTCAATATAGTTTTCTTCGAAGACGATTATAGTAAACTTCGAACTTTTCGAAACCATTTTTGTAGTACGATTTGTACTTTGCCACAAAATTCGGCTATCATCTCATCATTTGGCAAACATTTCTTTACATCGAGCATCCTTTTGAGATCTGAGAATAGTATAAGGTTGTTGGGGAACAGATCTAGAGAATATAGTAGGTGGGGAAGCAATTCCGAGCCCAATTTATGTTTTTTTGCCTCTGTTTACGCGGATTTGTGACTTGGTACGTTGTCCTGATGGAGCAGTACTGTTTTTCTTTTTTAAATGGGGCCATTTCTCCGATTTCGATCTTCCAATATTCCAATAACGTTATTCAATATTTGTTGTTGATGGTTAGGCCTTTCTCAAGATAGTTGATGAAGATTATTTTTTGCAAATCCCAAAAACTGAGGCCATAATCTTGCCTGCGGCTCGTTTGCATTTTTTTTTTCTCATCATGTCTAGTCCCCTCGGATGACTGTCTATTTGACTCTGAAGTGTAGTGGTAAAGCAAGGTCATATCCATGGTAACATATTGATGCAAAAACTCAGTTTTATTTCGATTAAACATCTCCAAATACTCTTATAAATCATCAATTTGTTATGCTTTTGGTCAAATGAGTTCGCGCGGCATCCATTTAGCACAGAAGTTTTTCCAATTCAAATATGTGCGAACGATATGTCCAACATATTCTATTGGTATCTTAGAGAGGTCCGCTGTTTCAAGCATTTTCACTTTTAGTTTTCCAAAACGATTCGGTGGACTTCTTTATGTTTTCCGCCTTTAATTAGCCTTCCAGAGGGTTCAGCATCGACCGTGTCTATATGGCCACGATTAAAATCAGCAAACCACTTTTTCACCGTTTGCCTCGATTCGGCAGAGTCCAGATAACATTTATAATGCTTTTGTTGTGATGGTATTTTTACCCATTAAAAAGCAATGATAAATCAACAGACGAAAGTGCTTTGAATTCATGGTTCCGAAAAAGTAGCATCACTTGATCCTCTGTAACTTGTAAACTAATCGTCAGATTGTCATTAAATTTTGACATATATCTTCCTAAAGTTGTTGCTTCCTACAAATCATGTGGATGATTACATAGCTACATCATCTATGTATTATCCTACGGATTTATTGAGTAATATATTCTGATTGATTGATAATAGTTATATTTCGATAAATGGTTCAAATATTACAAATTATTAGAAACAAACACGCACCTAATGCAAACACGGAGTATTTTCTAGAAGCGAGGCCGATTATTCCAAGCATTTACTAACTTTCATAATAAAACCACTTGAAGTAGGCCTTTAATATTTTATGATTGTTAAGACCAGGAACTCTATAGCCAAAAGAGGTTTCATTCAAATCGCAAAAAATAATAATCAACTACGAAAAAACGATTCCATCGATCTTTGCCAGTAGAGTGTCGAGTAGTTTGTGAATTATCAAAATCAGTTCAGGATTTTTTCCGAATACGTGAATGAAAAAATTTGCACTATTCTGCTTATGCCAAAGAAACTCTAAAACTTCAAAATTTTGAGAAAACGTTCACAAAAGGCCCACATCACAAAAGCACTGCCAATTTTTCTAAATCTTGATGAATTTTTCAAAATTAAACCTCTTCAATTTAGTATGTTCTTTGAGACTATAATTACTATCATCACAAAAGTATCATCAAAATCGACGGATTATTTTTTCAAATCGCAAAAATAGCCCGTCCGGTCTTTATCGATAACTAACCAGCACGATTACCGAATGATATCTTTCGAACGCTTTCCCAAAGAAGCACCGATTTCCTGATTATAATTTCCTGTTTCTCGACGTTTCAAGTATACGTTATATACATACGTATACGAGTAAATTTTAGTTCTATTAAGTTAAACAAATTATTAGTATCATTAATAATTACTAATTCAATGATTGTTTACCGTAGCAACATAGCTCTGAGTTGACTCCGCTGAATATACTTTAGCCACTGATATTATATTGACTTGGCTCTTCTGTGCATAGTCTTCGACCAAGGTAGCATTCCATAAGCGAGCACTTATTCTGATTACAGCTTGCTTACGTGCTTGCAAAGGTCGTAATCGACAAACAAATTTTATACATTTTGCACCTCTGGTATTCTGGCAACTCTATAATAATAATAAGTTTTATTGATCAATTGAACCAAAACAATATGTAAATTATTATCAATTTACCATAGTGACTATCTCTGTTTTTCTTCCCTCACTATCTATAATAGCTTCTGGTCTCACGATCATTTCCGTATCTCGCTTCCAAATTCTTCTTTTTATTCTAACATTATCATTGAAATTCAACCAATTATTACTAGAATAGTTTCTAGGATCGAGCAGCTGCTCCATCAAAGCTTCAGGTGCGCCAAAACGTTGTTCTAAATGTAAAGGATTTATAATGCTTGAATCAATTTCACATTCACCTTTTTCTGGGCCTAAAAGAATAAAAATCAATTTAGATAAAACAATTAACATAAATTATTAATGAAAAATAGTACTAACTATCAAATGTCGGCACGTCGACCACATAAAGCAACCATTTCCCTTTCTCTTTGTTATTGGCAACTTGATGCGGCCATAAAATTTCAATAATTAAATCATTGGACATCCATGGTCCTTCGTTATAGACTTCAAAAGCATGTATGACTGGGCTGCCTACGTCTTCTCTGAATTTCATCACAGCCTCCCCTCTTGGAATTCCACCATAGTATACTTGTTCAGGTTTTGCAGTTCCTCTTAAAGAAATGTTTGCTTTTCTAATAATTCGAATTTCTAATACATTCCATGGCCTTTTTTGTAATTCTCTTGATGTAGAATTGGCAAAAATGAAGAAGTCCATGCTATTAATATCAGCCGAAATATTTTTGGGATCAAAACGCATGGCGATATTAACGGAACTGCCAAATTTAAATGGATTAGCGAGTTCACAAGCGACTACCGTGGAATTATAAACGTTACAATCAACTTGGGCTTGTTGCTTCACTTTGCTGGACACAAAATCCAATCCGATTGGGTGTACTACGTACAACCAAGGTTCATAGGCTGGTTCAGCTTTGTTCTCCACTGTTATATGAACAGTGAGATCTGTGTTTTCGCCCATTACTAATTCATTATTCTTTAAATTGGAAACCGAAGTCAAGAATAAATCGCTAGTGCATTCTAAATCTTCTCCACAGTCCTTTTGGAATGTAGCTTCAAATATCAACTCAGCATGAGTTTGATTCAGGACAGGATATAAATCGATCGATGGTAACGGTGACCCTCGCCTCGGTATTGGTGGATCATTTTGTTGCAATGTATAATTCAGTTTGAACTATAAATTAAAAAGAAATATTACTACCAATTTACATATTTTACAAACTAAATTATTACCTTTATTGGTTGCAGAATATCTCTTGTGTTCTCCTTAAGATACAGTACATGTTTGGCACAATGATGACCATTAATAAGACTTACAACGCTTGAAACTTCACTGGGCCTAATGACGTCGTTGGGGTTATTAAACCAAACTCTTGAAAATTTGTGAGTGGGTTGAAATGTCTCAGCCACTAAATGATATAACAATTTTACGTCCTGAGTTTGTCTTTTTATTTTAGCACATGTCTCAAAAGAAAAACTGTAATAGAAAATAAAAACTACATTTATGAATAGGCACTTATTTTAGTCAAAATTATTAATGATTTTTTATTTATATTAAAATTGCTCGTGCTCTTTCAGTACGAGAGTGTTTGCAAGAGTGCCCAAGTATTTATTACCACAAATATTTATGGATTTTTCAATCATTATTTAACATGCATTTTGAAAATAAAAATTATACTTCTAGAGAAATAAAATTACGATGAGAAATTAGAACTCGCAATAATTTATTTCGGAATAATAAATTTTAAAGAAACGACTGCATACAGACGTGACGATCGTGGCGAAAAGATTACATCACAAGGGGTAAAAGTAAAAAAATGAAATATATTCTCAATATTACCATGTATAATTCGAATTGGGATCAGCTCTGCAACCAGTTTTGCTAGTGTCGACGTTTTTTGTCTCATGGTGTGATCGCAATTCTGTGAATATATCAATGATCGGCCTAGACCTGATCAAAGCAATAGCGTCTGATGCATATGCACCAACTACTAAGTCAGGATATCCATTATTATCCATATCTAATCCACCAGATAAAGAGTATCCAAAAGTTAACATATATTTCATTGGACCAACTCCAGCATGTATTACCTGAATGAAATCAATCAAATTTTAAAATGTATAATATTACATAATAATTTAATCGAAGGTTTTAAAATATAAGTATCTAACCTGAGAAGGTTTTTCTTGTATCCCTTGCCTAGAACCAAAGAAAATGTAAACTGCGCCACTTCCTTCATAAGGAGCACCTACTGCTATGTCTTCACAACCATCCTTATTCAAATCTCCAACTGCTGCTAAAGCGAAACCGAACCTGCTGTCATACTTTGGACCTAACAGGCGGGATGAGTAATTTTCAAGAAAACGTCCCTTGTTGTTTATAAATACATAAACAGCCCCTCCCTTTTCTTTTGAGAAATAGAAAGGCGCGCCTACAATCATGTCGTCCCATCTGTTAATAATTGAAATTAATTATAGTGCTATTAAAACATGCTAATTAATTTTTCATTGTCTATTAGCTCACCCGTCTCCATTGATATCAGCTCTGGCAATTTCGTAACCAAAACTGGAACCAAACTGTTCGCCAGGAATGACATAAATCACTTCCATTGGATTGACATTTTTAGTTTTCTTAAAAATGACTACTTGACCAGTGCCTTCTGCTCGAGGAGCACCAGCTGCATATGAGATTTCATTATTGCTGATAAATTTGCCGCCTGCGACTGACATTCCTGATAAAAAATTAATAAATAACCAGGTGTAAATGGACCAATTTGCCTTAAGGTAAGTTGTATGTGTAAATAATTGACTTAATCAATAAGAAATAAATATTTTAGTTTTAGAGCAAGAAGAACTGATCAGCACGATTTCTAACTCTTATCTTTAGAAGAACTTTCGAATTTTCAAAATTAATTCAAAATTTTTTTGTTGATAATTTTTGGTACTTTTCTGCTAATTATAAGGGAGCGATCCTTATCGGTTCACCACATCATCAAATGGTTTTCAAATGTTTAAGTTTAGTGCCGCCGTGTTTTTTCAAAAATCGTAATGTAAGGTCAAATTCTGGGTCACGTATACATGCACACACGCACTTATTCCAATTTAATTAGTGACATCATCAATAATGCTACTGCATAGTAAAAAAAAGTCGTCAATGAAAATGAGAAGCTAAAAATTCACCTTAATTCTATGAGAGTAGTAATTTTTTATGGAATTATATTAGATTGAAACAATAAATATATAATAAAATAAAATATCCAACTATTATATGTTTTTTTTTCAATTTTACAAGATAAGAGAAGCAATGCAATTATCATTAAAAAACATGTTATCAAGAAACATACCGAGATAGCTGTATTTAGGAACAGGTCGATCAGTAACAAGTGGACCATAATATTTTTCATGATCTCTGCTTAGAAAATCCTCCTCAGTGGACATCACAAACATTGTGCCAGTCCATGTATATGGTCCAGGTGCGCCGATCATTAACGAGTCTCCAATGAGAACACTGCTCGTTCCAGCTTGGCAAAAACCGTATTCTTCGTGCTCTCTACAAAATTAAATAAACATCATTTATTAAAAAAACAATATGTATTTATTTTAAAATATGACTTTTAAAATCCATCTGCATATAATCATGTACCTATAATTAATTTAAAACCGTTTAAATTTAAAGTTATCTATAAAAGAATGTTATTTTTATTAATTGAGATATATTGTGAAACAATTAAACCTAAAAACTTAACCTTGTATAACTTAACAACTAAACTAGTTTATTTTATTTTGCTGCTTGGTGCAGATAAGAAAGAAAATTATTATGTAATGACAAAGTATGAAAATTTCAAGTATGCCATATAAAATGTGCTATGGACTTACTACAACTGACTTGTTTTTGAAATGATGATTCTATATTTGAATAGACTTTAATTTTAGGTAAGTTATTGTAATCGTCCAAAAATCGAAATTGAAAATTTTTACATTTCTCGACGTTTTGAAGAGATTTTGGCATAAATGGATGTGTGTGTATGTATGGATACAATTTTTCGTCCACGTTTTCGGGCGCACGGATCAACCGATTTGAATGATCCAAAAAACATACAATTGATAATGACGGGGAGATGTGGTGATTAGTTATTGGAAAAGACAGGTCCAGCAGTTTCGGAGATACAAGGCTAAATGTGCAAAAAATAGCAGGTTTTGAGAAAACTAAGCGTCCGATTTGAGTGATTCAAAGAAATTTTTGCTTGTTTTAACAAAATAATTGCTTTTAGAAAAAAAAATTGTTCAATTTTTTTCTTCAAAATTTGTTTCTTCAAAAAATTTTTTTTCAAAAAATATTTTTTATTTGGATATCGAAAATAATTCAGATTTTAATTGTAATTCTGACATAAGTTTTAATATACTTTAAGCAAATATTTTTAACTTTGCCATTCACTTTAAATAATTCTTAAAAATATTAGACAATGTTACAGTATTAGTTTATGATAATCTATTTGAAAACATTTAATATTCCTTGAACATTTCGTTACCGTACGGGAAGTTCCAGCAATTTGTCTTAAGGCACGATGCCATATACACCACTAGTTTTTTAAAGTAAATCATAATAATGCAGTTTTTTCATTGGTGAAGTGATTTTAACTTGGATTTGATGATGTCTTCAATACCGTCTGCTCTGATTGTTTATTTATGGCTAGTTCAATTGCAAAATGCAAACTTTCTTTTTCATGTAGAATTTGTAGTCTAGACAAAACCATTGATTTCATTGATATATTTGCTTTTAGTAGCTCCAATTTGGATACAGACGTTTACAGCTATATACAAAAACTTTAGAAAAAATAAGCAATGCTCGATGTAAAAGTCCATTGAGATATTTTTAATGCAGTTGCCAATAGTTTTTTATAAACACGAAAGTTTTTTATCTCTTCGCAAGTCCTTTATTATACTGCTCATTACGTTTTTTTTTATTACTGAAAGATTTAGCGTTGCGCTATAAAATGAATTTAAATGGGCATATGTTTAGTGAGGTAATCTTAGTGATTGCGAAAGTAGATAAACTCCAGAAGTCCAGAGTAATCAAAATAAATAATTTCACTATGCCTATATGGATTTGATTTTAAGAGTTTACTTAGTCAGTTGATGACTTAAATCTTTGACCAACAAAAGTAATTTAATACTTGCAGACTCAGCTTGATTCACATAGTCTGAGATTAGAATCAATTTTTCAATAAAATTAACATTTCAGTTAATTAAGTAGCAAAAACACTGACCAGGAGCCATTTTTGTTTTTATTGATAATTATAACTGAGAATTATAAGAGCTTATATTTCAATTAAATTTGTTGGTTTAAACAAAATTTTAAGTAAATATGAGATTCTAGATGAATAAGAAAATAGTGTATTGATGCCATATTTATATTTCATGGAATGTCTGACTTACGTCGACAGATTACTAACCACTACAGTTTGAATTTGAAATAATAATGAATTAAATTAACAATTCTATGAATCTATCTAAAATATTAAAACTGATGATTAGATAGAATTCAGACAAAATATGCTCGGTTAGGTTTTCCTTTAATACATTCAAGGAAATTGGCATATGTCTGTCTTAAATCAAGAATATTGATGAAAAATATTAAACAATATATCTTGAGTTGATTGTTTAATATATATTAAACAATTCTTGAAAATGGTAAGAAACTCAAAGTAATAAATAACCATAATAATATATTTACACAGTTAGAATGAATATGGTTAATCATTAGTGATTTTGATCAATTTTATTGCAATTATCAGAGCAAGCAAGAACTACAGGTTAAATCATTTGAGGCCAAAAAAAAATTGAAACCTGTGAAATATGATTGACTTTTGACTTTTACTCTAACTACTTCTAAAAACAGACCAAGGAATCCACCAGTAAAAAGAAGAAATATTCATCTATTGCAAAGATCTCTTTTCCCGTTCTGAATCCGATGAATGTAGGTTACGATGTTTGATTTGTTCCTTTTGGGCTCATGGGTTATGTACTGATATCCCAAAGACGACCAAACAATTTATTTGCCTTCTTCAATTTTAGTATCTCGGTATGTTCTTATCTCGTTTTATGTCATTTTGTTCATGCTATATGAACAAAATATTTTTAGTAATTAGTTGCATTTTTTCTTAAAAAATAGTATGATTCCTAATATGATTGTAACTGATTTTATTATCAAGTAAATAAATCCCATTAAAAAACAAAGCATCACCATGTCATTTTGTCCGTACTTTTCCTACAATATTATACCGGCAACGAACACTAAAGTAAATGCAGTTAAAATATGTACTAAATAGAACAAAGACCTCTCAGATCACTGACCAAAAGCAACATTATCTACACATTACAGTCATTACACGATCGTGTGAGGTAAGAACATATAATATGATAACCACTGAATATCGATCTTCATACATATCTAAACTTTACTTCGCGGAGTGGTGGTCAGTGACAACAGACTGGTCGGAGCCAGCTTTAAAAATGCAAGATTTGTTTTTCTCTAATTTTGAAATCTTTTTCATATTATTAATAACATGTTGTTCACACAGATTAGATTAAAAAAATAGTAAAAAGGACGTAAATGATCAAGGAATATTAAATGTTTTCATATAGATTTTTACAAATTTGGTAACATTGTCTGATATTTATAAAAATTATATAAACTGAATTGCAAAGTTGAAATTATTTGTTTGACCTATATTAGAACAGAATTAAAATTAAAATATGAATTATTTTCGATACACAAAAAAAAATTTTTCTTGAAAATTTTTGTTGAAACAAGCAGAAAGTTCTTTGAATAATTCAAATCGGACGCTTAGTTCTCTCAAAAACTGTCATTTTTTGCACATTTAGCTTTATATCTTCGAAATGGCTGGACCTGCCTTTGCTAAAATATAATCATATCTTCTCCCAATCATTACAAATTGAATGCTTTTCAGATAATTCAAATCGGATACTCCGTTCTCTTAAAAACTCGATTTGAATTTTCTGCACTCTGTGTTCCGTATCTCCGAAACGACTGGACCTGCCTATGCCAAAACCTAATCAGCACATCTTTCTATCAATAGGAGTCGAATGTTTTTTGAACTATTCAAATCGGTTGATCCGTGCGCCCGAAAACGTGGACAAAAAAATGCGGACATACAAAGCACACGCACACATACATTTTTTCTGAGGTATGCCAAAATGTTCAGAAACCTTCAAAACGTCGAGAAATGCAAAAATTTTCATTTTCGATTTTCGGCCCATTACTATAACTATACTATTACTATAAAAAAAGATTTGACTAATAACAGATACCTGAAAATACCTAAAAAAATTGATCACATCATTGTTCAAAAGTTGTCCTTCCAACGGAACAAAACAAAGTTAAAACATTGATATTGCTAATTAAAAAAACTCAATACTGATCTGTTTATCTCAGTTCTTATTGAATTTCATCACGCAAATAAATTTTTTTCAATGATTTTTTAACCAAATCAATGATCGCTTACCATAAAGTCAAAATTTCCTTTTTCGTATATCATAGTGTCATATCCAGCATAAAAAAATTAATATATAGAAACAAACCATTAAGATACTAAAATATTACAAAGATGGATTTTGGTACATCCCTTAATGTTAATTTTGATTCTTAAGCCAAATCAATGACTGCTCAGGGCGTTCCGACCCATCATAAAGTCGAAATTTTATTCTTTGTATATTATTGTATAATATTTAGACAAGTCAAAAGGTTTCAAGTTATAGAACATACTAAAATAATATGTACAGAGATTTATTTTTATTATCAAAAAAGCTTATTCTCGAAACCTTTTCAGGAAAAACAGACATTGATTTGGCCTAAGAACTAAAATCAAGTTCCATAAATATATTCCACTAACCCTCTAACACTTTTTCCTCTGCAAGGTTCCCAAATTTCGTCTGGTTGAAAATCCTGCATTAGGGTATAACAGAGTCCTTGGCCCCATATTGAATCCGGATTTGGCCTCAAAGCATACCTGTGGGCACACACTACAATGTGGCCACCTTTGGTGTCATTGCTAGAGGAGCTGACACTAACCCCGAGCCATTGATCTTCTTTTAATTCGTCGTTTCCAGGTGGATATAATGTGTCATCGTTGATTGCTGTATATAAAAGTATTAATTTAATAATTTTTCATAAACATTCAATTATGTTATGAATTCATGCATATAAAAAAAATATTTTATATGTATATATGTATGGGTTCTCTGTACGAAAGCTTGTGAACTCCTTTCGGGTGAACTTCCACACTATTCACTGAGGTATTTATAATGCAATCCATACTATGGCATCATCTCGTTTGTCATACCTCATATTTTCCAAGTTGATGTTCTCAAAATTGAGTAAAAAAGACACTTACAGGGAAAACCTCTGGTTTGCTCTTCTGGAACGTCTCTGAAACTTCGCGTGGTGATAGAATTGATAGTCAAAACAAATTCCTTAATAGGTCTATAACGTTTCAAAGGATTTGTTTTGACCATCAACTCTATTGTCATACGAAAATTCATCAAAACCCCAGAAGAATAACCCTGAGGATTTCCTTGTTTGTCTAAAGTTGTAATTCAAACTGTAAATCTTATAAACCTCGTTGAATTGACTTGTGAAATTGGCTGTTAATATGTTTTTTTTGTTACCAAAATAGATTTCTTCAATAACCCTAATTTTTTTGAAATTTTCTTGTAGAATGTATATATTTTTCATAAAAAATTAACATAGAATTTAAAATTTAAAAAACCCCAGAAGGATAAACCTGAGGATTTCCTTGTTTGTCTAAAGTTGTAATTCAAACTCTTAATCTTATAAAACTCGTTGAATTAACTTGTAAATTTGGCTGTTAATATGTTATTTTGTTACAAAAACAGATTTTTCAATAACCTTAATTTTTTTCAAAATTTCTTCATGCATGAATATATTTTTCATAAAAAATGAACAGAGTAGAATTTAATTGTAAAATTTGGCGGACAACATCTTTTTGTTCTGTTATAAAATCAACATTTTTCAAAAGCCTTAATTTGCTTAAAAAAATCTTTTTATAAACATCGCAGAATTTAATTTTAAAATTTGGCTGACAATATCTTTTTGTTATGTTATAAAAGCTGAATTTTTCAAAAGCCTTAATTTGTTTAAAAAAATATCTTGAATGCGGTATTAATTTTTCATAAATTCAAAGAACCCAAAAATGTTAATTCGTTGTGCTTGATGTTCTAAATCATACTAAAATTTAATTTAGTTAAAATATAATTTAAAACATAAATCGTACATTTTTTTAAAAAGATTTATCGATTAGTAATTCATGTTCTAAAATCAGACAGAGATTTTTAATAATTTATACAAAGTGCATTAACTCGACTGGCGAGCTATTTAAGGCGAGGCTAAAAAGGATGTCATTTTGCAAATCGAAATCGATCGTAAGTCTGAATTTAACGACCTTGCTTAAAAGCATTAGAAAGCCTGCACTTATACATAATGTATGTATATATATATATATATATATATATATATATATATATAATGATTTATATTGAAATTGATATCAAATTCACTTAGAGAATTCAAATAGAAACCGTCTGCACCATCCTGTAATGTAATAAATGATTCTTGCAGTACAACGTAAAGCACTTAAAATTATAAGGCAAATTACATCAAATTTTACACAAATTTCCAGAAGCTTTAGTTTTATGAAAAATATTAAAATAAAAAAATAATGATATGATGTTAATTATTTCGCAGTACAGTGTTATAATTGTACGTTAAAATCATTTAAAAAACCATCGGAACTAATTTGGGTTTTCAATAAGATTCGATTTTTATTTTAATGCGTAGAACCCATTATTTTCTGGTGGAGACAGAAAATAATGGTCCAGCCAATCCGGTAAAAAAAACTTTATAAGTCGAAAATTAAAACGTAAAATATGTTCATGAAATTGCCTGACTTTGAATTCAAAAACAAACTTGTAAGCGTTTGTTTATAAAATACTGTACTAATACATCAAATTATTTTTTTTAATTATTTATGACTACTAATATAAATTCGCAAAACAGTTAAGTAAATCGAGAGATGGATTTTCGGATATTTTGATTGAAGCCAAGTGGTACTTGTAGGCCACCACGAAGACACTTTAATTGGTCAATTTTTATATTTATTATTTTATTTTTTTATAATGCATTTATAAAAGACAAATATAATCCTAAAATTTCAACCTCCTACCACAAACCCTTATCTTGTATGAATTATTTAATAATAATTATATAATTTTTCATATACCATACGTCCGATACCCGTAAAAATTTGGACAATTGTTAGGTAAACCTCGGACATGTTTTTGGATATTTTGATTTAAGCCAAGTGATATGGGTTAATATAAACAAACCGTGGGATGCTAAAAAACAAATATTTTAAATATTCTCATCGAATCAAATTAATGAAACTTTTAATGCAATTTGAACATGTATTCATTTTTGGAACGAGTGGTATACCCAAAATTTTTCATAAATTTTCACAAAAATCAGATTTTTCTAAAATGTGAAATTTTTCCAAGGATATCACGGATTATATTCAAAGTATTATTATCAAATTTATTAGAAAAGTTTATCATTTTTCACAGATTTTTGAAAATTTGTATATTTCTCAATCTTTTCCAGTTTTTTAACATTTATATATAATATTTGTTCATGATTCAGCAATTTGCCTTGAGGCGGAATGACACACACGCCAATTTCTTTAAACATTCTGTAACGCACATTGTATAACAATTTAATTCTTTTCTGAAAATACAACAAAAATTAAAAAAAAAATTATTATAGAAAATATGATTAAAATAAAGCAATGCATTCAAACTAAAAGCTTTAAAGCGCTACAGTTAAAAGCATTAAAGTAACACTATACAAAGCTATTATACAGCATGCGATTAATAATATAAATATGTTTAGTTTAATTTATTTCAAAATCTTTCAGTTATATTTAAAACTGATATTAAATACCAATATTTACATCAATTTGTTACTTATACCAATAAGTCCCAAATGTTGTAAAACAAAAACAAACAAAAAATCACTCAATTGAAATCTTAACCCAAAATGATTTCCATTGGTAATGACGGCAAAAAATATGTAGCAATATATAGTTAGCTAATAAATAAAAGTAATGTTAGGCAAAAAATGTTAGAAGAGTTAGAGCAAAAGTTGTAACTAAATTGCACACGTCATGACTTACATTTGCTATAGAGTCCATTTGCCACTGCAGGTTTCACACAATACAGCCACCGACAAAAAAGATCATTTGCTTGTTAAAATATATTTGCAGATAGATTGCATAAACAATGCGATATATAAATTATTATTTAGCATATTAATATTTATAACATTTTGCATTCTTTCGATCTCAAAAAGCAAATGTTGCTGGCAAAGGTAAAGGTACCTACTACAAGAAAAGAAAAAAAGTAAGATAATATATGATGATTTTTTTCTAGTTGAATTAAATATACGTAATTGAATGTTATTATAAAATGTTAATAAATTTACAGTTCTTTTGAACATAAAATTGCAACTATTGAAATGATAATAAGAGTAATACCATTGAAAAGTTAAACGAATATATCAATGAAGAGCTTTAACATAGTATTGAATTGAATCATTATTCAAAAACGTAAAAACTTTATGTTTTGCTAAAGTAGAAAAACGTAGAAATGAAAAAATTCATGTATAAATCCAGTAATTAATTATTCAAGCATATTCACCATCGCTAGCTGTAATACAATTGTAACATATTATATTGTAAATTCTACGCCCATTTCTATCTAAAAACCACCAGTAAGCATAATTCTAGAAGTATTAAGCCAATTTATAAATACTATTAACTATTTGTTTGGAACAACTTGCAAACTGTTTATTATTTTAAAAAATATAGTAGTAACAATGATGTCTGCAGTATAAATGTCATGTTTATGTAAGGAATATTTAATATATTATATTAAATGCTGAATACATTAATTTAAGCTTGCAAGTAGCTTACCAACAACAACAATATCTACACGAGTTTGCCTAACGTTTAACTATGGCTAATATTTCTAACATACACTAATCTATATATATAGAGGGTGTCCCAGAACTTAACGTCAAGCCAAAAGAAAGTGATAGTATTGACCTTAACTGTTCCGAAACAAATATCTCACATGATTTGGAAATGATGAGCTTTTAAGTGCGACCTTGAACTTTGGTGAAATTATGACCATTTTCAGTTATTGTAGCTAACTTTAATTAATTTTGTTTATTTAAACTTTTGAACCGTGTCTGTGAATAACATTTTTAGGTCCACAATAAAAAATACGAAAATCGCCGAGTTTTCAAGAATTTAGAATTTTTGTTGAACTATTAATTTAATTTTTATCGGCTAGGAGAGAACCTCTTTTAAAAATAATGTGCTAAAGTGTGTTGGCGAGTTCCAACAAAAGTTAGCGTAATTAATCATGATTGTAAAATGATAAAATGCTTGATAGTTTTATTAAAAAAAAATTTCAAGTAAAAATATAAAAACCTAAAAATGGAATAATTTTTGCCATTACCTTTTACCCACATTTAGGTCAAATGCTTTTCGTACGCACAAAATCCAACTGAATGTGAGTAAAATATACTAGCAAAAATAAAGTATGTTTAGATTGTTATGTTTTTACTATATATTTTACCATTTTACAATCCTCATTAAATAAGACAACTTTTGATGAAACTTGCTAACACACTTTAATATATTTTTTAAAAGGAGAGCCTTATAAAATCGACGATTTTAAAAATTTTAAATTCAACAAAATTTCATAATTCATGGAGACTTGGGGCAAATGTCGTATTTTTTGCATTTTAGTCCCAGAAATGTTATTCAGGGTTATGTCTCCAAAGTTTAAATGAACAAAATTAATAATAATTCAAAAAACATTTTACATGTATTAACAAGATGAAGAACTGATTAAATTTTTGCGGAGACATTTCCAGCGGTTACGGATTCTCGATGAAAATAAGTTAAAGAATGTCATTTGGCGGTCAAAAATGATTATTGGACTTATGCACATCAAATTATGAGATATTTTATAGAGATTTTCATAATGTGTGTACATTTTGTGTAACATTTTTTGGGTTTCGTACCAAGATTTTTAATTACAGTACGGAAAGTTACAGCAATTTGCCTTAAGGCTCGATGCGATGCACCCCACTACTTTCTATTTTTTTTTTCAGAAGAATTAAGGTCAATACTATCATCCTGTTTCGGCTTGAAGTGAAGTTATGGAACACCCTGTATATAACCATGAACTATTATTCGATCACTAAATCTAACCAAATTGGCATTTTTGTACAATGTTGTTAGACTATTTACTAAATATTTCGGTCAGCGAAATAATTAGTTTTTATTGTGCTTTCCTTTCTGTTATTACTAACTAAAACTCTAAACACCAACTACTTGTTAAATATTTTGGCTTCATTAATTTATTGCGCTAGTGCAAGTACACTGCTTGTGTTGCCAACTATAAATTTATATTTATTATAAAAAATATTTTTTTATTCTTGTAAAAATTTTTCTTCTCTAAAAGTGAACAAGATCAGATGAATATTTGTAACGCCAGTTCGAAAAGTTTATAGCGCTTATAAAATATCTATAGAACATTTAGTTTAAAGGTTTGTTATTTATTAATATTTAATTTTCGCTTACATCGTCTTCCATCAGTAATAACTTGTTCGCAATCGTAACTTAGTGTGGTCAAGGGGCATTTATACAATGCTCCTGATCTGGTCGTATTGGGTTGCTTGTTCTTTCCTAGAGGTGCACCAACTAGTATCCTAAAAAAGTAGAAAATTATAAATATTTTATATAAAAGTGGTATATTACTGAGAATTATGTAAAATAATAATTAGATTTGGAGATTCTTTTGGAGATTTTGTAACATGATTAGTGATATATAGTTTGCAATAATTAGCAAAAAATTGTTTTAGGTCTATAGTTTAAGTTAAAAATGATTGTCTTGATCATAGCTTTATAAAGCACTCAGAAAAAAATATTTCTTTAAGCTAAATATAAATGATATTTATGGACAAGGTATACTAAGATCATATCCATTGATCTTGTATGTGCGTATTAAGTCTCTCCTTCGATAACTCAGGTTGTTGAGTTATAAATTAACCCTTGTAGCTGTGAACTGAACACTGATTTGTTGGTATAATTTATGTATTTGTTGCAGTTTTTGTTACAATCACTGATTTGTCTAAGTTATAACTGAATGAGATATATTTTATTGATTATTTACTACATATACGCGGACTTTAGTTTAAGAAGTGAGAAAAATTAGTCCCATCAAACTCTCCGCTACCACCTCTACCAGCGGTAGCAACCATCGCGTGTAAAACCTCAATGCCATGAAGATTGTCGCCTTCATGACCAATATAATGAAAAGAAAATACGTCCGAACAGATCTATATTACATTATGTCACAATTGATAAATTCTTCAATGGCGGTTTTAGGTATAATCCAAAAAAAAATCATTTCCTTTTTACTATTTTCTGTTGGGATCACAGGATCACAGGTTTTATAGAGTTGTATCTCCAATCTGATTTGAAACTTTAATGTCAAGGCCTTATAAGTTTCATTTTTATATTATTGTAAACATTCTGAATATAATGACGTACCAAGAAGAGTTAAGGGAGTCTTCCTATGTGATGGGTTGAAAAAATCGATTTATTTTTCATAAATTGCTCCCTTAACATGTCTAGAATACGGTAGTAAAGCGATTTTAGAAAATTCGAAGTCGTTTTAAAGATACAGCAGGTAAAAAAAAGAGCGGTTCGAAGTGCTGAGTTGGCAGTTAGAAACTTTAAACGCGTTTTTCTCGAAACTGTGTTCTTCAAACTTTCCTCCATTGTATCTCAGAAACGGCTGGACCGAATTACTTGAAATTTACAGGGCACACTCAATATATTTAAACTTCGATTTTTTTATAGCAAAAAACAAAAAAACGCCTAATTTGCAACTTTTATTTCAAATGTCTATCAAAAATCGAATTTTTTTTATATTCATTTGATTATAGGTCATTCCGTGCTTTTAAGCCTACAAATTAAAACGCCGTTTATTTTTTTTTCAGATAAGCCGATCAGCCGGAATCGTGGAGGAAGTGGGAGCTCTTTTTTTCGAGGCGGGGGTGTTCAGAGCGCTGTAACTCTAGTTTGACTGAATATTTTTAGCTTCAATTTTATATTTATACTGTCCAAATATGTGTTAATAAATGATAAAAAACTTGAAGCTCTAAATATTAACTGGTCGTAGAAAAAAAATCCTAAAATATCCCTAAAAAACAGGCCGTCACATAGGAACACCCAGTACTTACGGATCTAACGTACTTTATATAGCAGTATTTATTTTCTGAAGATTTTTTTTACCAGTTCATCTCTTTCATTTGTAGAAAAATTAGTTTTTTTCAATTATAATTAGCTTAATGTCTTTAAGTTATAAATCAGAATTCACATTAATTCAGGTAAAGACCGATGAGATTACTAAAAAATGAAAATATTAATTCTTAGCTAATGGTTTTGAGTTATCAAAATGTACTCATATTCAGGAAAACAACGATGAGATGACTAAGAAACTGAAAACAATTGAAATTTCTGACCTAACTCTGAAAGTGTCATTTAGTGACTAACCTAATGTTATGTGTAAAAATTCTTGTTATAATTAATTAAAATTCGGAACACGTCACAAACTCGCTGTTCGTGCTAAAACAGAAACTTTAATATGATAAAGATCAAGAATATATACATTGAGCACGTATTATTAATGAATACGATTGGTTTCATTAATATTGGCATCAGAAATTGTATCCTAGACATAATTCGTTTGACTCATGTGCTCTTAAGTTGGGCATGTGGGTGATTTTTATCTTATGCTAGAATTAGACTCATAGTCATTACGCTTTTAAAAATCTTGAGCATATTTTCATGAACAATCAATCTTAGAAATAAGATTGAAAATACCAAGAAATTCAGATGAATTCATTTTTAGTTTTATCTCATTATTCAGATGTAAAAATATGGATATAATCCCAAATTTGAACAAAGCTGTTCAAATTATTTATAACTAATTGTGACAAATTTATTTGAAATTTAATAATAAAATTAGTTTTTTAAATTTTGTGTTTTTTGACGAATTATTAGGTTTGATGAATTATTTGTTTTCTTTTTCATTACGAAAATAAGAATACAAGAATAAAAATATAAGAAAAGTTTACTGTATAAAATTAAATAATTTCTAATAAATTTCGTTAAAATTTTTAAGACAAACAATAATAAATGCAGCTCAAGCGTCTATTTGTCTCTTGTATTTTTCTAATTATGTATATATATATTCTCCTTAATTTCAATATAATCAAAGATAATTATTCAAAAGTAATAAAGGCTTACAATTAGTATTATAGTTAAGACAAGAAAAGTAAGTACTGATTTACTATCTTTCTTTGCAAAAAAAGCATTCAGTAAATTTGAAGAAAAATGTAAATTATCAAAGTTCTGAAAGTTGTAAGCATTTGAATTTATCCAGTTTCCCTTTTTTCAATTTGATAAATTAAATTTTGCCGTCCTTTGAAGTAAAATAAAAACTGTAAACAATGAATAAATATAATGAATATAATGAATAGCAAATTACAAATAAATATAATAAGCGTGAAGAAATATCAGTATTCTAATCCATCAAGAAGGCGCTTTTTTCTGAGGCTTTATTTTCATAAATTCCTGACCAGATAATTGAGATCTACTCTGTTCTTATATAGTAGGCTAAACATTATTTTCATATAAATAAAATAGCAAATTAAAAACAAATATAACTATAATTAGAATGAATAATTAGATGAGATCTTGTAAGTGTTGTTCCATAAATAGGGGGGTGGGTGTTTTCTTTTGAGGCGTTTGTTGTCGTGAGTCTGCAGCAATTTTCTGGCCATGAAGTTGGAATGTTTTACTACTATGCTCTTATATTTTAGGTTGAACATTATTTTCGTGTAGATGATAATTAAACTATGACCTTTCTGACAGAGCAATATATCGATCAACGTAGGTATCAATTGTAGAAGGCAGCTAAGGATATTTTTGTAAGGCGCTATCTATCCTTAGGCCACATTGTATATATCCACTTAAGAAAAGTGCGGCATTCCAAAAGAAAAAAAAAACACATGTAAAACGATAATTTTAAATTTGGTAAGTCACGACCGAGAAGCATGGCCCGTGCCACTTGACTGCTACATTTATTTATTCAAGTGCATCATAAAATTATAATGGGTTCATGCTCATCACCAAAATTAAATCGATGAAACGAGCAAAATTACTGACAGCAGCATTTGGTAGACAAAAATCACAGCCGAAATAGTTTTCTTTCAGTCAAATATCTATTGAAGCCATTAGATTTTTTTAAAGGTTTTACTAACAATAAGAAAATTGAAGACATTTAGTAAAAGTAAAATAATCAAAAATACACGTGTTCATAATACTATATTTAGATTCTTATTTGTTCAGACAGATTAGAAATATATAATAAAATAGATTTTTTTTTTAATATAACGTCGCGCGGGCAATTTCAACTACTTCCTTCAAACTTTCGAAATTTGATCTAAGTTTTAACAAAACTCTTATTTTATTTTCATTAATTTTAGAGTTTTGTGTAAATAATTTTTAATTGTATTATATTATATAAACTTATGTACAACCTGCCTTAGGACAGTACTACCTATTATATATTTTCTTTAAAATCAATACTGATTTCTTACAAATAAAGAAATAAGTTAATTATAGTTTGGCACAAAGAAGGGGAGTCTGAGTCCATTAATGACATAATAGCTAATCTATACTGATTTTGAGATAGGGTCCAAAGCGAAAAAAATAATGTATGTTTGTTCGAACAAGTTTCCATTTGATCGCATTGCTTTTAATGAGTCAAAAGTAAGTTTTTTTGGATTTTGGTTTGGGCGATTGTGTGATAGTGTGATTAGATTTTATTATTTTATTATTATTATTTTTGCTAATCCATCGTATTTAAGAGCAGTATTTCAGTATTTCCACAAAGACAAATGTTTAAGTTACCATTTAATTTACTTTTTTGTCCCGGGTAGCTGGTATAATAACAAAATTATTTTTATTAACCCAGTCTCCCCTACAACAAATACACATATGAATATGTGTAAAATAAAATTACTTACCAGAGAAAATAATCTCTGTGTGTAAATTCACAGACGTCATCCAGATTTATTTCTTTTTTTTATGAGTATGTATGTACGTATGCCTCACGTTTCTGAAGAAAACACTCAATCGGATCATGATATTTTTTGAAGTTATAATGTTCGGGGCTAGGCCATTATTATTAATATATAAAATAACAAAGTAATTGAAACTTTAACTTTATTGTTTACTACAAAATATATTATGACAAGAAGAATGATCATGATTTTGATTGTGTGTTTTCCTCAGAAACTTCATAGAGGGCAAACTAGTATAGATACTCGTATAAGAAGAAATGAATCCAAGTAATGCTATGATTAATAGTTGTGCAAGCAAATAAAAATATATTGAAGTTTTTAACTCAAAGAAAACAATGTGAATGATTTGCATATAATAACAGAAAGGGTTTGAATGCGTTGCAGCACAAAATCGACCCCACCCTGTTATTTAAACGATTTATGCCGCATTTTAAGAGTTTGTAATCCGATATACCAATATATTTAGTTATGACACATAACCATGAATATATGATGAATATATATATATATATATATATATATATATATATATATACATGTAAACGTATATG